CAGTGTTAGTTATGGGAAGGCAGACTCTATAGTATTTTGATAGATAAGCCTTAACTGTTGTAACTATACAGCACTCTCTTTCAAGAAATGAAGCAAATTCCAAGAAATTTGTTAAAGCACTGCTGCTAATATAAAGATCTTCTTGATACTGCATTTTATCAAAGTTCATAATAACAAGCTTATATGAATATATCAAGATAAGACTTAGGACATATCATCTGAAAAGCGATTTCTCATCTACCAATTAATTCTTGTACAAAATTATAGTCACTCCTTTTAAATATGATGTATCCAAACATAACGAAAATTGCAGCATAACAAATATCCATGTAACCACAATCCAGGATTAACAATATGCTAAAAAATGTTACTATCTTTGCTTTAGGTCTTTTTAAAATTATTATTAAGAAACCAATCATTCCAGACTTTAAGTTCCCTTAATACATCTCCTAGGTCTCATTCTGCTACCTCTCTTCTCAGAGACAACCATCAACCAGCTCATCTGGGTTTCTGCTTTTTATTACATATGTTTATATGTATACTAAGTTTGTACTGTCTGATTTTTATTAATATATATTATATTTCATGCTATACTTTGTATGTACATTTTGTTTTTGAAATCTATCACTTTTGAAACATTTGAACATAGTAGAAAACATTAATCTCTCAGTACTTGAAAAGAATGTGGCTTCTCTAATTGTTACGGCCAGGAATTTTATGCATCAGGTCTCACACATATCTCATATCTATTAGATAAAACGTGGTAACTGAATTGTTCAAACCTGCATCCTTGAGAACATTTTGTCCATTTGATTTATTAGTTACTAAAAAAGGCATATGTATATCTCCTGCCATAACTATGGGTTAGTCAAATTCTCTTTATAACTGTCCATTTTTGCTTTAAATATTATTTCTACAAAATTTTTTCTTGTGATGAGAACTTTTAAGACATACTCTCTTAACAACTTTCAAATATGGAATACACTATTGTAAATTACAGTCTATATTACATCCCCAGGACTTATTTATATAATGACTAGAAATGTATACCTTTTGACCATCTTTACTCTTTATTTAATATTTAAATATTCTTTAAATATTTTAAGGCAATGATATATGTTTTAGTTTTATTGATTCTTGGTGGAATACTCCTTTTATCTCTATCTTGTATCCCTTTTCATTCTTATTAAATGCTTTACATGTTAAATATTATTTGTTTATTATCAATAAGCATTTACTTCACTAATATTTTCTGATACATTTTTTCCAAAAATCTATTTCACCTTTCTGGGTCATGATACAATGTTTTGTGTCTATTTATATATGAAATATGTCTACATAGTGTGTTTTAACTACTATGAGTCTGTTCTACATATATGAATTTACTATTTTTATTTTTAGAATGACCCAGATCGCTAGGTCACTTCCCAGTCTGTGAGTAGTTTTTCTAGCCTCTTTTTCAAGGACGAAACAACACTTGAATGGTTCTAAGCTTTACGCAGAAAGCTCCCTGCCAGGCACAGGCCTAGATTTGATCTCTGTTTGAGTCCAGGTCTTGGAATCTCAGCAACAGTAGCACATGTCCAGTTCTAAAACCATTCAGCTTCAGCTTCCCTCACTTACAAATATGGCTTTAGAATATTTCTTTATTTCTAGTTCTTAGGGCCTTTCCTGGTGCTTTCAAGAATTGACATGTATTTGTGAAAGTTTATTGTTAAATTTATCAACATGTATTTTAGATAGGAGTCTGATTTTCTACATCACTTTAGCATACTGCATGGACCAGAAATCTAATATACTATTCCTTGCCTTTGAAATTCAGTAACTTCCCTAAATCTTATCTTAATGTGGTTATCCTCTATTAGTTTTTCCTAAAACATAATTAGCCTTACTAGTTTGCTTTAATTTAGTAAATACTAAACTATGAATTTGAGTGTTGATTCTGTTACCACTAGCTCCATTCTCTACTTAAGCATTTCATGTGGTATATGCTGTATTTGTATTTGTTTGTTTATTGTTTTTAAATTTTCATATGTATCATCTTCTTACAGGTGACAATCACTTCTTTATGAATGGTAATTCTTTCCACCCTGTCCTCAGTAACCTTAAGTTGTGTTTCTGCTGTGTCAGTTTTACCTCTAAGACTGGAGTAAACAATTATCATCTAAATGTACTGAAGTATTCAATTGTTAAGAGGTCAGTTCACTCCAAATTTATCAGAAATCCCAGTCTGTCTCACAAATCCAGCATGCGCTGAAGATGGCCCCTGAGGTGGGAAGGTTTCTCCAGGCTTGAGTTATCCAACATGTGAGTGCTATTTCTGGGGAGCATCTATGCCTCTGCAGGCCTTAAAACTGCTGCTTTCCAAAGAACATGCTTGACAAATGTATTATGATTTGGTCCCAGTCAAGCAAAATACGCTCTTAGCACCAGTTCCTCACACTATGCTCTTACCATCACCTAGCAAAAACTCTATTTAAAGGGTATTGCAGTTGTAAACAGAGAGTTCAAAGACCTAAGCCTTGATTACTTTAAGGGGAAATATTGGTATTACTTTTCTATCCTTCAGATTTCACTTTTGTCTGTCCTATAGAAATTGATGCTTTTAGTAACAAAGCCAACAAATTTCATGATGTGAACTGTGGAGTTGTCGCAGTTTCAATAGATTCCCACTTCACCCATTTTGCCTAGATAAACATACAAAGAAAGAATGGCAGTTTGGGCCATATGAACATCATACCTTTGTCAGATTTGACTAAACAGATTTCCTGAGACTACAGTATACTGTTAGAAGGTCCCAGTGTTGCTCTAAGACATCTATCTCTTCGTAACTGACCCCAGTAGAGTTGACAAGTATTTGAGTGTCAATGATCTCTCAGTAGGCCAAAATGTAGAAGAGACCCTCCACTTGGTAAAGGCATTTCAGTTTGTGGAAACCCAAGTCTGACCCACAAACTGGACACTGGATTCTCCTACAATCAAGCCAAATCCAACTGCATCCAAAGAATACTTTGAAAAGGTAAATCAGTAATCATCCCATGTGTACCTGTAGCTTCTCACATCCGAAAAGAACCACAATTGGAACTCATTATTAGCATCTGAGAGATGATTATAGACGACCAAAAGCCAATTATGCTTGTAATTATAAATAATATTCAAAATGTTTTGTTTTTGTAACATTGGCTAAGGATTTTAAATGTACTCACACAGATCAAGAGTCCTTTATTAGTACCCTCTGAAGAGTTAGCTAGTTTATAGAATGCTGGTGAACCTACTTCTTGGATTGGTTTTTAATGGGAAGAGGAAACACTCTTCTTTATTAGCCTGACTTAAGCCTTTATGTACACCAAAGTAGTACAACAAGCACTGAAAGCTTCTGATCAAGGGTCCTGAAATCTTCTTGAATTTTTTTGTACTAAACTGAATTTTCTTTTAAGGTAACAAAGATTATAATTTTAATGTGTTAAAAACAACAGTCTAATTTAACTCTTACAATGGATGTATATGTACTTGAAACAAATGTGAATCATGTTTTGTTTTGTTTTGTTTTCAAAAAAACATGCTGGTAAAGTGACTTATGTGATCATGCATGTTTCTCATCCCTGAAATTAATATAGTTAATTTACTTATTTGTTAGTTGACTTAGGGTTCACATGCAATTCTAGATATTGATTGGATGTAATCATAAAGAATACTTATTGAATACAAGAATTGCATTTTGAAATCACTATAATTATTTTCTTTCTTGAAGTGCTCAATGTAAAGTACATAATAAACATATTTTAAAAGAAAAAAGATTCAATGAAAATCCAATAAAATTCCTAGGATACTTTTTTATGGAACTTGAAAAGTGATTCTGAAAATCACATGGTAATATAAGGGACTCTAGAGAGTCTAAGAAAATTTTGAAGAAGAACAAAGTTGGAAGATTTACAGCATCACATTTAAGATTTACTGCAAAGCTAGAAAATAAGACAGTTTGGTAAGGATCCAAAAGAAAGTAAACATAGCATGAAAAAAGAGAGTCCATAAAAATACTATTTATATATATATAGTATTGATCATATATATATATATATGATCAATTATTTTTGACCAATATAATTCAATGGTTGAGGGGGTAGCTTTTTCAATAAATTATTCTGAAACACCTACATATATGAGAGAACCTTTATACTTAAATAATGTTATATATAAAAACTAATTGTGAAGCAATGGTATACACTGCTTTAACACACAAGCTAAAGCCTTTACGAGAATAATGTTAATAATGTTATATATAATAATAATGTTAATATATAAAATAATGTTAAATATTATTTAACTTAATAATGTTATATATAAAATAATGTTTATATTAAATAATGTTATATGTAAAAATAATGTTATCTCTAAAGTTATATATCAAATAATGTTATATATAAAAACTAATTTGTGAAGCAATGGTATACACTGCTTTAACACACAAGCTAAAGACTTTACGAGAATATTTTCAAGAACTTGTAATAGGTTATGATTCATTGAACAGGATACAAAAAGCATTAAACGTAAAAGAAAAAGTTATATTGGACTTTGTTAAAATGAATATCATCTTCCCACACACAAAAAAATACCATTAAGAACCACAGACTGAGAGACTCTTGAATGCCGAGAACAAACTGAGGGCTGATGGGGGGGAGGATAGGAGAAAGGGGGTGATGGGCATGGAGGGGGCACTTATTGGGATGAGCACTGGGTGTTATATGGAAACCAACTTGACAATAAACTATTAAAAAATGAAAATAAAACAAAACAAAAAGAACCACAGACTGAGAGAAAAATAGTGTCTATATATAGATCCAACAAAGAATTCATATTTACAATATATAAAGAACTATTGTACATCATTTAAAAAAGACACCTGATTTTGAAATGAGCAAATGAACTGTATAGACACTACACAAAGGAAGATATATAACTGGCCAGTAAACAATAAAAAGGTGCTTAAGATCATTACTCACACTTCCTGTGAGGTCTGTGAGGCATATCTCATTGCTGTCACAGTCCAACTTTTATGCTACGTCCACAGGCCTCTCTTCCTAAGGAGAAACGCAAAAGAGGAAGATCAGTCACATGAACCACAGCCCCATCACACAGTTGATCGTAGGACCATATTGTCACACATATTCTCCCTTCTCCAGTATCCATTCTAAATTCCCCTCACCCTCAGCTAACACCTCAGGTAGGCCCAAGTGGTGGTATGATCCAAACATTCAAAAGATACCATTATCTTGAATTTATTCCTATAAAAAAAAGACAAGCCACAAAGTGGGAAATGATACTCCTAACATAAGAAACTGATAAAAGGCTTGTATCCAGAATATATTAAGAAATTCTAAAAACTAGTAAGAAAAAGACAGACAATTCTAATAATAAAATGGGTAAAAGACTTTAACCAAATACATTGTTTTTAAAAAGATATCCCAAGGGCCAATAAACATATGAAAAAGATCAAATTCTTTAGTCATTAGAGAACTGAAATCAAATCTACTGTGAGATACTACTACCTACATACCAGAATGACTAAAGTGAAAATAAGAGACATTGCCAAGGATTAATAAGGATATGGAGCAACCAGAACTCCCCTACATTGCTGGTGGAAGTAAAAACTGATATAGCCACTTTGGTAAACTCTATCCAATATCTACTAATACCCAACTAGCAAGTGTACTTCCAGATATATATTGAACAGAAATGCATACATGTGTTTCCTAAAACATATCATAGTGGAAATACTCAAAATAGCCAAAACCTGGAAATAATACAAATGTTGGACAAACAGCAATGTTTTCACATGTGCTATCTCAGTTATCTATTGCTGCATAACAAATTAAACTAAAACTTAATGACTTAAAACTACAAGTTATTATTTTCAGAAACTATGTAGGTTGGCTGGGCATTTCTTCTACCAATCAGTATGGAGTCACTCATGTGGTTATAGTCATCTGATGTTTTCCCTGGATATGCAGGTGCAAGATGGTCTCTGGAACATGGTACTGGCTATCACTGGGCTAACTACTATTCTTCTCTCATCCTGCAGAGACTTTCTTCTTTAGTAGGCTACATTAGGCTTCTTCACAGCATGATAATAAAAGGACATAAGAAGGCAAGAGAGGAAACTGCAAGCACTCTTAGGGATAAGCTCTAGAAGTTGTATAATATCATTTTCACCAAAATCTATGTCAAAGCATTTATAAAGCCAGCCCAGATTCAAGACAGTAAAAAAACAGCTTCCATCTTTTGACAGAAAAATCCAACAGCACATTACAGAGGCCATATACACAGAAAAGCATGATTTACTAGAAGCTATCATTACAGCAATCTACCATAACCAATATATAACAATGACAATGAATGAATTACTGCCATAGGCAACAACAGGATTGAACCTTATGAGTAAAAGAAGCAAGCAACAAGAGGATATATGCATCATATTCTATTTATATAAAATACAAAACTCTGCAAAACCAATATATGGTGTTAGAAGTCAGAAGAGAGTCTAAGGAAAACATTTGTGTCACCACAAATGTTTTGTCTTGACCATGCAGTGGTTACATGAAAATTTTCACTTTGTGCTCATTTATAGATTATTTTGTTCTTTTGCTTTATCCAATTTTCTACATGTTTTTATACTCCAAAAGAATTTTTTTAACCAGAATAAAAATGAAGACAAAAGAGCTAAAATACAATGCAAGTGAATTTTCCTCTATTCAGTTCAGTTACCTGGGTGGTGTTTCATTCCTTTTCTGGAATATCTGCTGACGTTACACATGCTACTGCTAAAAGAATAAGGAAGATTCCAAGTCTTTGGCAGCTGGTGCTGGGGAACTCTATCTCTATTTTCTTTCTGTCTTATTTTCTTTAAATTCCTATATCAGTTCACAGGTCACCACTTTTGTTTGATGTGGAATTATTTTCCTCTGCTCAGATTCCTCTGTTTACTGCTGCTAGTCCTAATAATTGGCTAAGACAATTATTCCTAGGAGATTACTTGTGTCTTTCTGTTTCATCTACTGCAAGGTTGGGTAGTTTCCCAGTCCCAGTCTTTAGTCCTGCTTATCTAAAGAAGTAAGGAACATTTTTCATATTCTTCCTGGTAAGCCAGATTCCTTATGTTCTCTTAAGTGGGAAATATGAATGAGATTTTTTTAGATCTTCCTCCACTTACCTTGCTGTCATACAGGGCAATTCTCAGAAATGCAAATCCTTGCATTTTTTTCCCCAACTAATTCAAACCATTTGGTATATAGGTTATATTATATAGGAGTTAACAATGTAGATGCTAGAAATAAAATGTCCAACTTCATATCCTGACCTTGAGTGAGGGCAGATTATTTCCCTTACTAGGACTCAACTTCCACATTTGTAAAATGGGAGATGACAAGAAGTCCTACCTCTTAGGGTTGTAATGAGGTTTAAATAAATTAATCCATATAAATTAAAAATGTGCTTAGCCCTTTAAGTACTCAATAAATAGTCTCATTATTATTAAGCATAGTTACTAACATTTAGGGCAGAATGTTGACACATTTCCATGATTATTAATACTGAAGATTTTATAGCCTTTGATATATTGATTATCTTTTAACCATTCCTATCAGTTTTGTAACCCTGAATGTATACCATCATTGGGGGAGGTAAGGACATCTGTTGCCCGACATTCTTAAAATGAAATACCAGCTTTTAATAAAAAGATTTAATGGTTACAGTTAGCATTGTAGTTATGATGAAATATTACACAGCCATAAAAAAGATGAGACTGTGCCATCTGAGACAACATGGATGAACCTACTGGATATGATGCTAAGTGGAGTAAGTCAGACTGAGAAAGACAAATACCATATGATTCCACTCATAAATGGAATTGTAAAAAATGAATGAACAAAAACCAGAATCCTAAGTATAAATATAGAGAACAAATTGATGGTTATCAGACAGGAAAGAGGGTAGAGGATTGCGCAAAATGGGTGAAGGGGAGTAGGAGATACAGGTCTCCACTTTTGGAATGAGTATGTCATGGGAATAAAAAGAAAAGCGTAGGGAATACAATCAATGATACTATAATAATGACATAATGGGACAGATGATAGACCTACTTGTGACAAACATAGCATAATGTATAAACTTGTCAAATCACTGAGTTGTACACCTGAAGCTAAAATAACATTGTCAACTATACTCAAGGGGAAAAAAAAAAAAAAAGCAAAAAACAAAAAACCAGCACTATAGGGTAGTATGGGGATACGAAAAGAAAAGAATTGGAGGCATATGTAAATGATAAAAATGTGTTTGCATTTTTCCATATTCACTCCATTTTTTATCTAACCATCTATATTTAAAATCTAAAACTTCTCCAGAGATAGCTCTTTGCTCCCAGCCCTTCTAGGTACAGTTTTGCTAGTTATTGTACAGGCTAAATACAGGAGTGGAGAGAGAGGCACAATATCATCTAACAGGAGTCAGCCCTGAAATCATCCATCTAAACCTACTCTCTCTCGCACGCGCACCTTAAGTAACTGCACATATCTTCGATTGCTAACTTTACATTTCTTGAAATGGGGGTACAGGAATAAGAGGTTTCCAGGAAAGATATCAATATAAATATGAGTTAAAAGATTAAACTGGATCCCTATTCCATGGGCTTCTCTAAAGCTCTTCCCTTCTCTCTCCTCTGTTACTATTCCAACTCCAACTAAACCACTCTAGATATGGTTCAAAAAACTGAAAATTCCTCTGATGACAGGAATTCAGCATTGGGCATTTATTTTTCATTTGATTGAGTTTATTAAGCTATTATTCAAAAAGGTAACCTGGTGTACAAGACATTTTGTGACATGTTAAGAATAAGAAGAAGCATTACACAGCTCAGGTAAGACTTAAAGAAACTGCATTCCATAATTCTGATTAAATACAATCATGGATTATGATTCATCAGGCAAGGCAGAAAGGTTAATTACATAGACTATGTAATCAGCATATAGCTGCATGTTTTTCAATTCAGATTTTACCTGTTGTATGTAATTTATAAGAAAAAAATATTGACTTATAAGAGTGGGTTGAATTTGTCACTTTGGTCTCCTATACTCTTGTTAAATACAGCTCCTCTCCTCAAAAATAATCTCAGTTTGTCCTGGCTTGACAGATTATAATGAATATACTCTTTCCTGTGCTGCTTGAGAATTCCCCATTTGGGGGAAAACAAATGCATATGGCAGTGAATGCTAACCTTAGATACAAACTAGAACCACTTGAGAAGCTTTTAAAAAATCTCATTGATTAGGCCATGCACCACATAGTCAAATCAAAATTCCTAAAACTAAAGCCACAGTATGAATTATTTTTTAAAGGTCCCTCAGGTGATTCAAAGGGCAGCCAAGGTTAAGAACCACAGAGGTGGAGCTTCCACCTCCACTCCCATCCTTGGCAATGTTCATACAAGTTATTGATATTGATCAGATACTAGTCAGTCACCTCAGTTGACTAAAATGGTCATGCAGACATAATTTTTTAATTCTTAAAAATACTTTTTTAGGGGCATCTGGGTGGCTCAGTCAGTTAAGCACCCTGCAGCTCAGGTCATGATCTCGCTGTTCCCAAATTCGAGTCTCACATCGGGCTCTGTGCTGACAGCTCAGAGTGTAGAGCCTGTTTCAGATTCTGGGCCTCCCTCTCTCTGTGCCCCTCTCCTCCTAGCACTCTGCTTTTTTGCTCTCAAAAATAAATAAACATTAAAAAAATTAATACTTTGTTAAATGTCTGCACAAGAGGTATTTGTTCAAATCTGCTCTAAGTAATTTGAAGAAAAAATTATATATTTGTACATATACAAATTTATAATATATAGATTATATATATAATTCAATTCAAATATACAGGTATTATTTAAAAGTTAAATTCATTACAGTAAACATGATAAGAGACCATAATTTGTTAATACAACTTCCAGGAAAACAGAACTCTTGAGTGTTTCAATTAAATTTATCCTTTACCATATAGACTCAATCCCTTTTATGCATATTTAATATTTTTTAAT